GAGAGAGAGAGAGAGAGAGAGAGAGAGATGACTCAACCAAGTAGAAAACGATAAACAGTTAGATACTGCTATGAGTACATTATTTATGTCAAAAGTACGTGCGTACATGGTATGTTGTTCTTATGAACACTTTGATGTCTTGACTGAGTGGTTCCTTTAGGCTGTCTCATTTCATACTTTTTTTATATTTACTTCTTTGTCCTTTTTATTCATAAATCTCTCGTCCTGCTTGTAAACAACGACGTAACCCAATATCAAGGCATTTTTCCTCTCTGCGCCAATATCTGGAAACTCTTATCGTCGGATACGACGATGTCAAATCTTAAAGGACGGGGACAAGTCAAAGAAAAATTACGTTTACCATTCAATCTGCGCACTTTCTGTCCACAGTTTCTATCCCTTTACTCGTTTTATTATATTTGACTTCAGCAACTCTGCCTCAAAGAGATCGCTATAGCATTAATGATTTTATGTTACAGGTCTTTGTCGTTCTTATTATTTCTCTACTTTGTCTCTTATTATCGCACGGACTTTACGGTATCACGTTTTGCAGTGCAGACGATGTATTTGAAATATTTGGTCTTGGCTAAGTGGTTAAGACTGTGTTGATTGTGAAGGGGCTTTGGAAGAAGGTAAAAAAAGGAAAGTCTGGATAAGAGAAAAAAAAGAAATAAATAGTGAAAAACTTCTTGCAATATTTATCACCGGAACGTGGCAAGGGTCTTCTCTTTATCTTTAAATTTTTTTTTCTTTCTCTCTTCCTTTCTTTCGCTCCCTAGAACCTTCAACCTACGCGCCTTATTGGCCATAGTATCTCTGGGCGGTGCTGTTATGGAGGTCCAGGTTGGCACAAGCGAGCTCGCGGAGTTTGAGGGGTGAACAGCGGAGTTAAGGGTTGCTTGGGTGCCAGATAGAGCGCGTGGTTGTTGGGGCTGCGTGCTGCCAGCGTCACTTCTTCGCGGTCTGGCAAACCGCGCGTACTACAATCATCTTCTACCGTATAAATTGACACTTCACCCAACTTCGCTTTGCTTAATCTTTATCGAGGGAGACCCTCGTTATCATTTTACCGAAACTTCACACCAGCCGGTTATATGAATTAGATCGATTCCTCATGAATTTACGTGATCTCTGCCACTGCAAGAAGCAGCGAAGGGTGCAAAGCGGATAATGTTTTTATCTCGTGTAATTATATATTCATCGATTGATTCGATGATAAATTTGCAACAGATGCTAAATGACTGGTTGATAAAAAATTAGTGCGTTATCCCTGTGAGAGAAAATTGAACTTCAGAAAAGATGTATTATTTGTGACGATAACATAAGGACTCTTCGTGTACGCCGGAAGTGATCCTATGAAAAGGGAATTTAAACGTGACGTGTTCGGGCTCTATCTGACGTAGATCCTTATGCTTATTGTTATCAACAGAGAACTGTGAATAGGTTGACTTTATTAGTATAAGGACTGGCGTAATCATGGAACCCTCGAGTTTCTTTCCCACCCCCGTGGGAAACATGTCAGAATTCATGAACCTCAGCGAATCCGAATATCTCAGGATGATGCTTGGTCCTAAACGACTTCCTTTGAAGGCTGTACTTCCTGTTACGGTTGTCTACGGCCTCATTTTCGTCACCGGAATCATTGGCAATCTGATGACGTGTATTGTCATCACGAAAAACTCCACCATGCAGACTGCTACCAACTACTATTTATTCAGTTTGGCAGTTTCTGATCTAACGTTACTTTTATTGGGTAAGCAAATCATTGTCATTGATATTATATTTTTTTTAACTTTACGCTATCAGATCACGACATTTATTATGACTTTTATGATTACTCCAGACTTACTAAAATATTCTATTCTTTTAATCATATTAATGATGAAGTTGCCAGTGGCAATGGAGACATAACATAATAACGATACTGCTGCTGATAAGTTAAATATCAATTGAAGGGACATGCATACATAATTAAAGGAAGTTTAACTTCCGTGACTGTCCCTTGGCCGACGAATCTCAGGAGAATTTAATTAATTCTATTTCCCTTTCTTTAGTCGTTCTCTCATTTGCTCATTTACTCATGTGGTATTTATCCAATTTCATTTTGCGTTCGCTGGAGTTGGTTGCCTGTAGGATGTCTTATTGACTCAAATTATAAGTCCAAATTTTCTATGTATCACGGTAGTCAAATGAGCTGCTGGAGGAAGTTTAATTTTTCCTATGGTTTTTACTCGATTTATCCGCCTGATTTTTATACCTTGTGTAATCAGATTTCTGTATAAAAATATTGTTACATCAAAATGATGGAGTATTGCGAAGATTCGTGTGTGTTCTGAAAACAATTATTTACTGGTATATAAAAATTTTATCATGGTATAACAAACTTTCATCTGACTCATATATACAGGATACTACCGAGCTATGGATTTCTGTTTCATGAAATTAACTTTGTTATTCGCTAAAAAGGCAAGTTTTCTTGATAAACGGAAATACAGTTAGCCGATTTACAGATAGTTCGATGGAATATTGATTATTGCTTTTCCTTACACACCCTTTTTTATTGATATCACTGTGTATATATACAGGTCTATATTCAATACGTATACCATGTACTAAAACGTAGTATCGAATTTTTAGAAAATTATTCCTTCTCCTTCTTTTGAGTTATATCTCGTTCCGTACCTTGTCCCTTATAGCCCTATATTTTCTTAATCGCTCATAATACTAACCCTCCATAAAAATCGATACACCTTGTACCTTGCATGCCGCTTCCTTATCGTAAATTATCAATACTAGTAAAACATCCCGTTTTTTAATACTTTTTATCTTTTACTTCCCAAAAACATTCTAATCTGATCCCCAAAAAAAGCCGTATACTTGCCAATATGTACCGTCAATATGTATTTCGAAACTATGTTTTCCGGGTTTTTCAATCTTTACCTTGCATTGTAACTAACGAATATATAGGGTGGCCCAAATAAAATGTTGCAAACTGTTTTCTCTGTAACAATTGGAGATATAGAGTTGAGTTTTAAAAAATTAAATAGCTAAAAGAGTTGACTCTTTGATTAGTTAAAAATAAATTGGGGAACCCATTATTTCTTCATAAGGATCAATTGTCAATGGAATTTTTAATGGAATAGGGTACAAGTTTTAGTTCATTCCTACAGTTTTCATCAAATTTGATAACGTTCGTATAAAACATTTTTTTATACTACATAGTTAAAGAAATATGGTAAGAAATTTAATATGATTCAACGGGTACGTTTAAAGCTGTAGGCCAGCTGGGTAACGAGATAATGAGGTAACAACGCTTAATTTTTTTGTCTAGTGTTACATAACGAAGCAAGTGATGATTATTATCTCCACAATTAAGGACGATATGAACTTGAGAGTTCATGCCGTTTGTACGTCGATTACTTCGTTGATGTTGTTAGATGTTCTAAATAATGTGCGCAAAATTTGGAAGTACACGAACACCATTTTGAATATTTGATAAAATTATTTTTAACATCGATCACCTTGATCTTGATATCTTTCGTGACTGTCTTCAAGTTTTCTATAACTGTTTCCATACTGTTTCCATAATTTCTCCATTAGTCCGTTTACCTTGTTTCTTTTTTTTATCAATTCAATATCTCTAACGGTCTCGTAGAAAACAGCTTGGAACAGTTTATTTGGACCACCCTGTATAAATCGAATATCCCTTAGTTAAAGTTAGATAGTAGTCTGAATGTTGTACGAGCAACCTGATTTACGAATATCGCGTGACGAAAAGCAAAAAGAGGTAGTTTCTTGTAAATCTTATGCTTATACGTCCTTTTACTTTTAGTCACGCGATTACTTCTTTTGTTAATTTAACATTAGTTTTCGTTAAATGAAAACCCACAAATTATTTCCGAGACCCCATAAAGAAAATAGTTGTTAGACATCACTCTCTTCGGACCCAGGTCGTAATAATAGTTGTACATTACAAGACAGTAGTCAAGAACGTATTTTTATCATTATTAAATGACGTTCACATACGTTATATACGCATGTACATAGGTAAATAGAGTATGTACATACATATGCACATGATCTGACATTTGTTAGCGGTCTTAGAAAATTCGCTCAGGAATTCTCTGCATTTTGAATGCAAATCTAAGAAGAACGTAGCCACCCATTCGGTTGAATAGCAGAAGCATTCGGTTTACCATGCGGAACGCTGTGTCACTATTCTCGACTTGTCTATAAAAGATAATGAAACTCGAATTCCTATCGTTCAGGAAGAAAGATACGAAGACAGAAGCGATTTACAATTTTTAGTTTATACGTACAATAGCTTATGCTGGAAAAAAAATGTGATAAAGAATTTAAAAAAAAGAAACGTTGTAAATTATCCAATAAATTCTCAGTAATACCACGTTCACACCCGCTTCATTGCACGGTAGCCAAAAAAATAAAGCAGCGTTTCTACAAGAAGTGGTACATACAATGATAAAAGACTCCACCCCTTAATCCTCTTTGCTTATTCTGCTGGAATCATATATTCCGTCTGCTCCCCGATATCAGATAAATATTCCTTCCGAGCACGTAACATATATTCATGTGGCGTGTGACAGTTTTTTTGTATACCAGGTGAATTTGTTCAAACATTGAATTTAGAAATAACTTATTATTCCTTGCGAAGTCACGTGTTCGAATGAAGATCTAATTATCGCACAGTGGGGGTGCGGAGCCGTTCGATAATGAACATCCTTTAGTACATACATATTTAATTATGTATAGTGTGAAAATAAGTGAGTGTGATAACATAAAAAAATGATCGTTTTCACAATAAACAAATGTATTGGGTTATTTAGTACAATCGTCACTATGGTGGTTCTACCATACAAATCAAATGAATATGCTAACTTCAGGTAATGCATACGACCTATTCAGGCCAATTGCTTTTGCACAATTCAACAAGATACAAGATACAAGTAAATAAAATGTACATTGTTTTTATTTGATATCATTCAGAAGCAAAATATTGACACATTAAAGGCGGGAGTCGTAGTACTACGATTTATCTCGACTGTAGCTTAAAGGCGGGAGTCGTATTAATATTTCTTGTAGTTTTAAGAGTTTAAATAAACTTTTTTAAGTCTAAATTTTTTTATGATTACACAAAATTTCGCCCGCTCTAGGACGAAAAACGAGGCGGGGCGGTCGCCGCGTTACCTAGCATACTTTCGTCAAGATCCCCCGCCTTTAATGTGTTAATACCAGAATGAAATTGATTACACAAAATTACGATTTATCTCGACTGTAGCTTAAAGGCGGGAGTCGTATTAATATTTCTTGTAGTTTTAAGAGTTTAAATAAACTTTTTTAAGTCTAAATTTTTTTATGATTACACAAAATTTCGCCCGCTCTAGGACGAAAAACGAGGCGGGGCGGTCGCCGCGTTACCTAGCATACTTTCGTCAAGATCCCCCGCCTTTAATGTGTTAATACCAGAATGAAATTCTGAAACTGCCATTCATATGTTGTACGGTTGTTACTGTTTCAAAAATCCGATTAAAATCAACAAGAACAGGTAGATATCCGATTCAGTTATAATCGGATTCAAACGGGGCAATAGAAGATATTTGTATTCCGATTGAAAAACATTCGGATTTAATAGGTTGTAGGGTCAGATGTGACTTTATTTACAATAAATCCATAAACAATATATTTTTTTATTGGAATAAATGGAAATCTCATATATTCTCAGTAGTCAATACAATACGATGTAATACGATTATTTGATAAGAAATTTATGATTTACAAACCTCATTCCTTCGATTAGCTATTTTCAATCGATTTTAATCAACTTTTTAAACGCCGGTATTAATTAAAAATTATATTTTATTCCACGCGATATCACATTTATTTTTTAACTGTTTTCTTAAAATTCTTTCACACTCTCGTGAATCGTAATTATTCCGGAATTCTTATAATCCAGAGGGAATTAACAAGTTTGAACCCTTCTTCTCAAATTAATTAAACTCATAGCTTGTTTGACAGCTACGATCTGACGGAATGAAATGTTATATCACCGTTCGTAACCTCTTTTAGGGATAGGGGATTATCGTACGTTTTGAAATCCATAAAACAATTTGGTCTTGTTTTACGTTTATTGAAAACCAATCCAAGAACAAGTTATAAATAATTTTTGTTTTCACCGAAATTACGGGAAAATTTTTAAAAATATATAAATTATTTAAAAAATATACATATTTTTGAGACAAAGATGTGCTTTTTTAAATTTTATTCAATCACTGTAAAAATTAGATTTAATTAAACCGAGGTCTTTCAGATGACTAAAGAATAGAGAGTCGCGTGAAGTATCCACGTGTTCGGTGTGTTTATGGAGATGTGTGAAAGTAAAGTAGAGGTGGTGAAAATATTGTTAGTACTATTCCTTTCGTTGGCATGGTTACAGGTGAACAGAAGAGACAAGCATGGCGCGTACGCAGCGCGATCTTATATCAGCGACATACTAAAATCGCAATAGCGCGCCTTTTAAGGTATTACTACGGACCGGAAAATGACAAAATTTTCAATGTAAGATTTGAACAATCTAGCGTCAACTTTTGAACTGGTACAGTTCACTCACACACGCCCATCCCTGCATCGATAGGCGCACACTAATGTACATTGGATGTAGTAGTGTATACGTATATACACCGAATACAGTCTCAAACGCAATGTTGCCGTGACGCTCTTTTGTCTAGCCGTCGTACGAGAGATTTCGTAATAAATATCGAACTTGTTTCATGTCTATCAATAAATCCTATGAGTAAAAAGTTCGGACTTTTTTTTCATATTTTCCTTTGCCATATACTAGTTTTTCGTCGGAATTACGCGGACGAGTCAAATGCAATAAAAAAAACCATGCGCGTTTTATTGGCCAGGTATAGGGAATACGTGTTACGAGTCCTGACTTTAACTCGGAAATACTCGGAAACTGATGAGTGAATCGTGTTAAAAATTTGTAGAGAGATGTACTGCTACACAAATTAGACGTAAAAAAAATTTCAGCTCGATTACGCGGTTTTGAGTTTACCGTAGTAATACCTTAAAATCCAATAGTTTATCATAACTCTGCTGTTTAAAGTAATGCAATAAACTGTGAGAATACTTTAAGCTGTTTTTTAATCTTGAAATACATGATGCACATGTATCCAATTTGTGAACTATTGATTTTTTGAGCCACTAAGAAAGCTTGGATTTCCCACGAGCCTACTTCGGAGTTTCTTTGGACATTCTGATGTCCATCTATAAGTCCATCTTGAGTGGAAATAGCAAGCTGAAATCTTTCTTGTATATAGTATACACGTATATATCATTTGATGAATCCGCTCGCAGAGTTAGTTGACGGTCAAAATAGATCTTTTTTTTTCTTCTTTCTTTTCATCCAAGCTTCCATTTTTTTCTTCAGAATACCGCCTTTACCCCTGAAATGCGCCTCTATAAGTAAGCCAAGAAACGAAAAGACAGTTCGAAACGATATTGGACTTATTCGTGAGCTATGAAATTCCAAGCTATTCTAACTGATACTGATACTACTCGTACAACATTGTATCTTCCTATACGAGCAGATATTTCTGGTTAGGAGATGTACACATATCGGAAAAAGGAGAATCCTGGAATAACGTTAATAAAAGACAGAAATATTTCAATTCCTTAAGTTTCTATTACGGTGTCTATTATATCCGGTAACAGGATTTTCAGTAACGCTTTACTTTGAGGTTAGCGGCGCGTTCAGAGGAGTCTGAAATCTCCTACGGACATAGAGGCTGCGAGACTAGGGTGAATCGATATGGGCCATCCTGCCTCGTTCAAGTTGACGAAGATTATTTTACTTGAATTTCCATAAGTTTAGTGAGGTTGGTGATAGATTGGGTATAATTTTAGGTAGAATGTGACTGACAGGAATTCCATGTATTATTCATTGGAAACCTTAAAGATATCCTGCTTTAAAAATCAGAATAAAATCGATTAAAAATAATTAATTTCAACGAATTTCAAGATTTAAGCATTGAATATTTCTTTTGAAATTGTATAAAACACGTGCCAATGGGAATTAATAATATTGATGTTTAGAGGAATTTCTCATTCATACTTATTGAGTATTAATGGGCAAGATTACATTTTTTGCAATAGAAATTATTTGTTTATTTTTTAAACAAGCTTACTTTGAATACGAGAAAAATTGTAACTTTCCGCCGCCCGTGGTAAACGCAGGAGCTATAGCATACTAAAAATTTACAAGTGATGTCCCATGTAAACCAATTCACTTCATGTTCATGGGAAATGCCAATTATTGCTGAGGATTGAAATCTACTATACTTAAAAAAAAATCGATTAAAACCAATTGAAAATAGTTAATCCAAGGAATAAGATTCATGGATCAAAAATTTCTTATCAAATCATATAAATATTGAATACTGAGAATGAGTGATATCCCCATTGATTACAATAAAAAATGTATTGTTTATGGGATAATCTCCAATAATGTCATATTGGACATGATAACCTATTAATTCTGCACGAATTTCAATGGGAGTACAAATATTTCCGATTGCCGTATTTTTTATCCAGGGATTGTTGCCTTAATACAAATCGATAACGTGGTTAGTGAAGATTTATCTTGGGGGATCAAGAGATTTAAAGTGTTAAGGTGGAGATTAGGGTACTACACGGTTTCGCCTCAATGATCATTTTAGACGAATGATGTACCTCTGTCTTTTCATAAAATACCATCTATTATATTTTGTAATAATTTGTTTCCACGTCAAATTTATCACTTTCTTTATTTCTTGGCATGCTGAAGTCTGTATAGGAGAATTCAAGCACTGATGTAATTTGTTGGATCATGTGAATTTCCTCTTTTTGGATTGAAAGGTAGTAGTAGCTATGGGCATATAATATATACAATAAATATATCATATATACGTATATAAATATATAAAATATGTATAAATATATGAACATGTCATCGGTATGCTTCATGGACCAGGCGAATTATGAGTAATTAAAAAATTTCTCGAATTTTAAAGTCCTCTCGATTGTCGTTACATCGAGAGGGCAGCACCGTCGACCATCGTACTAAGGGTATCGCCTGCCCTCCGGCAACCGGAGATTGCCCGAATAATGCATTCGTATTGTATTTAGCAGCGTGGGCAGTAGGTACATAAGTATATTAATTTTTAATAAGCGACTTACCCCCTGATTCCACCAATATGATTTTTTGTTTAGGCTCAATTCAATTGTGCGATTATTCAACGAGATACTCGAATTTTAAAAATAACCGAAGATTGTACCATATATTAAACTGTGTCGAAGAAAATGCACCTTAGTGTTAAATAGTTGTAGAATTTTGTTCCACTTCTCTTACCATATACGCATATAATCTATAGAGTTCTAAGTACAAAAGAATTATATAAATTCAGTCAAATTTAAACAGAACGAGTATTACCTACGATTCTTTTTTTTTTCATTTTATCATTAGTTTTTTCAATTTTATTTTGAAAGTCACATATTCGAATCAACCGTATGATCTATTACGTACGAGAGTTTTCGATAGTAAAAATTTTAACGTTGAATTTTGAACTAACGAAAGAAGTCAAGGACTTTTCATGTTTCAGGGCTGCCGAATGAGATCAGTGTATTCTGGCAGCAATATCCATGGATATGGGGATTAAAGTTATGCAGGCTGAGAGCATTCGTCTCAGAGATGTAAGTGAACCCTTGATAATAATAAGACAATTTCAATTCCAGCTTAGGTAAATTATACAGACAATTTATTCCATTAATGAACTGAATCATGAGATTCCATTAATTACTGAATCTTCCAGGTCCTCCTACGTTTCGGTATTAACGATAGTGGCATTTTCAATGGAACGATACTTGGCAATTTGTCATCCGCTTCATCCATATGCCATGAGCGGGTTAAAGAGACCAATACGGTTTATACTGGGAGCCTGGATCATCGCCCTGGTCTGTGCTATCCCATTCGCCGTCTACACGAACATAAATTATATGGTGTATCCACCGGGTGAGAAAAAAAATTCTTTCCTGACTTATTATTGTGATCGACTTTTTTTTCCAAAATCCTTACGTCATGTTCCCTTTCTGAAGATTGTCACCAAATTTCATAACTAAGGTAAAAAATTACTTACACGTATATTATTTGATGCATCCATAGGTTCAGGCCGGATATCCAACGAGTCAGCTGTTTGCGCTATGCTCCTGCACAACATGCCCAAATTTCCTCTGTACGAGATCAGCTGCTTGATATTCTTCCTGGTTCCCATGGTACTGATAATGGTTCTCTACATCAGAATGGGACTGAAGATACAGAGTAACACCCTAGGGCCTAGAGTAGAAGGATCCGTTCACGGGGAGACCAGGCAGGCTCAATCCAGAAAAGCCATTATCCGAATGCTTAGTGAGTGCATCCCTTACGTCATAGATACGTTAAATATTAACGAATTGCTTCCTTCCCTGGTCATGTACCTAGAACTTATGATGAATTGGAGATAAAAACGATCTTTGCTCCGTAAAAGATAACAATGACCATCCCTAATAAAATTAACGAGTAGCACGCTAACTCGCGTATCAAGGTATCCAATTAATTTAACGACGAATCCTTGTCAATCTATATAACATCCTCGAGTTAGCGATGGTGATATTATAACTTCGATGGAGACGAGTGGAATAAAAAACAATTAATAAGCCGCTGAGACAATTAGACTCCCGTGAACAAAGCTCCCCTTGTTCACCGTTAAGCCGCATTACTCGCGTACCTGCTTTGCATAAGGCTGGTAATAATGGGTAATGGTTACCAGCCAATGTGCCTGCTCAGGTAATGGAAATGAAGAATGACTCATGTGACGTAAGCATCTGGTGATGTTATATCTCATCGCCCATTCATCCCAGACCCAGACATAAGCACTTCCCTACCTTGAGGTTTAGAGTGAGATCAAATCAGAAATACTCATCCACTCGATATTGTTCCCAGGTAGAGAGTTCATCACCGTAAATGAGTAACCCCTAGCCTGCCAAAATAACTCAAACGACAATTGATCCCCAATGCCCATAGAGATCTTGTTTTTAAAGATGTCCATCCTTATTATCTTTACATGCCTTTAATCTGTGATTCAGTAAGAAAGCTAATATTTTAATATTTTCTTCGAGATTACAAATAGGAAATACCATGTTGTTTATTTTTCTTTTTTTTTAAAAAAAAAAAAGGTGCCGTGGTCATCACATTTTTCATCTGCTGGGTTCCGTTTCACGCTCAACGACTACTCTATGTCTACGCAGACAGGTCGATCTTTGGCGACATTAACGAATGGCTTTACCCACTCGGCGGGTGTTTATATTACTGCAGCGCGACAATCAATCCAATCCTGTACAATGTTATGAGCGCCAAGTACAGGAGTGCGTTCAAGGAGATGCTGTGCTGTTCTATGAGGAACGGTAGTTCTTCATTGGGAAGGGATGAGCAGAGCAGTATCAGGGAGACGACAGTTTTCAGATATAACTCCAGAAGAGGATCCCATCAGGTCAGGGTGAGGAGTCTTCGTTGCAACCGTCCAACCAAGTGAGCTATCACACAGCATCCTTTCTGTTCGATCATTTTTTGAATCTTCTAATCAGTGATCCCTTTCAGAAATCACAGCTGCGTCCTGGACCGCGCCAGTGAAAAACCACCGTTCCCAGGTGACGTCCGCCTGGACACCGAGGAGCCGCACTGTAATTCGGAAGACACGAAACAGCCACTTTTGAAGAGAAAGAAATCATCTTCGGCGGTTATGGTAGTAAAATCCAGTAACGGGAGACAAATGTGCCGGGCCGCGTCTGATAACAATGGAGGATCTGGAGAGACTCGTATCTGATCGTGAGTGATGTTGCTGTAAAATGCTATCACTGGTATTGACTAAGTGTAGTTTACGAGAAGGGACTTCTTCCATTGTATAATTGTATTGCTGCCTGTTGCTCGTGAGGTAATTGTTATCGAATACCATAGATCATGCAAACGTATCGTCATGGCCACCATGCTTTCATTATTTTGTTCTCCACTGTTCTCTACTACTTTCAGCGGTCTAGCCAGGAGTCTATATCGAGCCTTTATCTCGGTTCTTAACTTGATTCTACTACAATGGGAACAAGTCTTGTCCGAAGATCTATCAGCGTATAGAATCTATAGATCCTTGCAAGGATGCCACGGACAGCTTCCATTTATTTTATATCCGTATTCCGAATATCTCTTATACGGATGATAAGTCCTTAGTCACGGACCACAGTCGACTCCCCAGAGCACTGAAAGAGCCTAAAGTGGAGGCTTCCATCGATCACTATCTTACCTCATTGTCTATTTCCGGGAAAAGAGAATCAGTCCTACCTCTAAGCCTGGCAGGAAAGTTGTATCGTAGGTGTGAAATTTCTCTCGTGAAAATTATAACGCCGAGGCTGTTATAGTGTCAAGAGATTTGCAAGGATATACTGGATTCATCCGAAGTTGGAAAATAACTTTAGGTACTAACAGTGTGTATAGCGTATACGGTATATCACAGGGATTGGTAAGGGTATAATGAACTTTATTCTACACGTTCGTACAATGGAAGAAAGTCACTCCGGACTCTTTAAGGATACTGTTTTAGATAGGCTGGGTTGAATTATTTTCACTGAAAATAAATTTGAAGTTAAATCATTTATTAGGTTGAAATTTAATTAAATATCAAGACTTATCACCTGTCACGTTCCAATGGAAAGTTTTTTACGATTTGTTCGGCCGATATTGTCGTAAGCACATTATTTGTATCTTCGATGAGATCTCTTGAAACAAGACTTGACGTCAAAGCTTTTGTATATCCAGAAAAGAAAAAGAGTCGTGAGAATACGTGCGAATATTGAAGTTAAGTGATGGATCGATTCAATTTCGTTGTACAAATGTCAAAGTTTTCTAGTCGATGTTCGTCTTCAACTTAATAAACTTCATTTTTTTATCTTGTCTGTTGCAACAACATTGTGGCTGTTGCAAGAGTCAAGAATGATGAGTATAGTATGTTTGATTATATTTATGATATTAAGAGAACAAGGCATTTTTTTTACGAACGTTTTAATGTATACGTACATTATATATTATTGTCTTGAATAATTGTTATGTATTATCTCTGTACTCTTGTACACGTTCTGTACGAACTTTTTGTGGAGCATGGATATAAGTATCGCAGGAATAAAGAAAATTTCTGTACAACGTTTGACATTTTCTACAATACTTTTATTTATTCGTATAGCAGCTATAGTACTTTAATCATGTAGTATCTTGATATTGTGTTCGCAAGATATAGGGTGTTACCGAAAATCCTCTCAGGTAAACAAGACCAGTGACTACACGTATTATTACATCTGTCCGAATGTGAAAATATGTGTGAATAGAACTAAGAACTTCGAGTCACTTTGTCGCCAAATAATGGATTGTCCTGACACGTGTAAGAATAAAGAAATTACTTCGGAAGGTTTCTTAACCTACAAAAAATATCTTGTTCATTTAATACCACAATATAGTAATTTTATTACAATTTATTATTGAGATACAGGAAAATTACATAATATCTATAATTGTAAAGAATATATTACATTTCTAAGTTACGCAGTGAAAAATAAATTCTATTTTTCAGCAAGACACATATGTTTACTAATAATTTTTGTTTTAAATGCACATAGAATTATTTTATTCAGAATTATTTCAGACAGACAATACAACATTAAAGCCAAAAAGATCACGTAGTATTTTTCTGTTAAAACGATAATTTACTATTTAACTAATTAGGTCGTATTAATATTCCAGGTTTGCAGAATACATTGAATACTGTATCGTAAAGCTTAATATACATTTGACTTTTCAAGATCGTGGAGTAGTGTCTTAAAAAAAAGTATTGCAAAGGTACAATATTGTTTAACGTTATATCAGTAAAAAAAATATACATTGTAATTTCCACAACAGGAAGGGGGACGAGATGTAGTTATTCAGTACCGGAGAACTTTAATCGAAGTGAAGAGCCTCGTTCTTAAATGCCTTAGACTTTTGATAAGTAATTTTGTGGTTAGATTTCGCAAAGTGACACAAATATTGAGTATCTACTCAGAATACTCCGTATAAATTTCGAATTTATATATTTAGAGCAGGAACGGTGAATAATTTAATTATTTTACATGAAATTAATAAAATGAATTTATAATCGGCTAAGTGTTGGGTGGATCGAGTTGTCCTTTTATCCACCACCGTCGACACGTCTCTTTTCTTCGTTGTTCAACCAAAAACTGTCCTCGAGCTCCTCACCGAGGAGAACCATACCACACCATACCATAAAGACTGTCTCAAGATTGGCCTCGCTCGCATTGGACCTGACTATCATATGGATGCTCTGACATCTTTATTGATTTCAAATCTACCTTTAACTAAACATAAAGACTTGAACTAAATATTTCGGGTAAGTTTCTCCTAAAGTCCTTTACCTCACGACCCGTTTCTCAATACTATGTTACTTAGGCTTTACGAAGGTCAATTTCGCCAATCACGACAATTTGTAATCTACTATTTGATCAATATATTTGTATTGCTTTGATCGAGTTATGGTTTGAACTGAAATATTTACTATATACGGTTATCCGCAGGCACACGCTATGTTCCCTACTACTCACAATCAGTACCTGACCGAGAGTGGGGGGTCTGTAGGGGAAATTGAGAATAGCGAAAGGTATCCGGTCTTGTAAAGTTAAGAAAAGAGGGGTCGCTCTGTAGTACCATTATTATGATAAAAGTATCCGCAGCCTACACAATATACAAATAAATATTCGGATATTAATACAGGCTCGAGAGAAATATCTTTGAAAAGAAAAAGTACTCTAAACTTTTTAATGTGAAGATTTAAAGAAATGTGTATACACATGAGTTACGACATTTAAAAAAATAAATGTTAGCTTCCTTGAATCCAGGAACCTGGTCATGTATGTATAATGTATATACGTTGGACAAGAGACTCGTACAATTTACCCCACCACCGACCTATATAACTACCCTTCACAAGAGCCATACTCCATCGTTACGTATTCTACTCCCAATTTAATCATTTCCGTTCAGTTGAAATGGCATCCAAAGAATTTATTATTAAACATAACAATGGTGATACTGATATTAGCTACGATCTCGAAAACATTTTCAGTATTTTTGATATCGTTGAATTTTTGGTTTATTGCGAGGGTGGATAAATTCATATTAAAAATGTCAATAAATATGGAAAAAAATTCATTTAAGGTGAAAAGAAAAGAAAAATTTTTCATTCGGAGAGGATTTAGTATTCGCCAAAAAAATTATTGAAATGTTTATTTTTCACAATTAAACGAGTGGTCGGCAAGTTAGAAAATTATTATAGACAATTATTAGGGAGTACTCGCGATTAAACGGTGATAAGGAATGAAGGAAGCTCGTTGTAAGTGAAGCGATACGCGAGGCTTCTCAGGCGATTAGAATTAGCCTTGCCTTATGGAATTTAGTTTCTCCAATCACGCAGCTGAAATATGTGTGGTAATTTATGTAGAGGAATAACGTACATAAATTAGAAGAAGGACTTTTGAGTTTTATAAATGGGCAGCCCTGTTTACAGCTGAGGACCGATTAAGTCTCAACGGCTTTACGTCAGCATTAGGTATGACGGATAAAGAGGATTCCCACTTGATGGCTGAATAATTAATGTGCATAAAGTATTAATTGAATTTACCTGTATTTCAATTAAAACTACAGACAATAATCCAACGCACATCCACTCAGTCATTATATCCATTATTAACGATTCTTCGTATACAGGAGTGTTCGTAAGCGCAAAAAGAAACAAATTTCGAAAATAATAAATAAACTGCAGCAAACGAAAATCAGGCTTTTCGTGGATTAAAAAGTTCATAAAATAACACCAACGTAGAGCATACCAATCCCGCCAATAACAACCAAAATATAATAATCAAATCTTTCAATAAAATAAATTTGATCTTGCCTGGCTGCTGGGACCTGAAATAAGACCAAAGTTTGGTTTCAGCTTCATACAAAGCCATATCACTAGTAAATTCAACGTAGCCAGCTTCGACGTATCGTTGGAGCAGGACGTTCGCTTTATCAGCAAACGGCCAATCACGTCGCGCTATTAATGCCGCGTGAGACCCAACGGAATCTATAATGACCACGTGAACTTTTTTGCTCTGAGAAAAGAGGACATTTGCGAATGAACAGTGTGCAACGCATGCAACTCTATCCAATTGATGAATATTATCCAAACACTTTAATCCCATCTCGTCTTCGTATCTAGACAACAGCTTGGGACGTTCTTTGAAGTAAATTTTGAAATACGGATAACCGATTATCTTGTATCCGTATTCATCGAGATCCTGAAGGGTGTCCATGTTCTTTCTCTTTAACGGGGTCGTAAGCAGCGACATAAAATTACCATTGAACGCTGCCGAGAATACAAGCAGCAACAGTATAACGGAACCATAAACGATTCTTAATAAATTATTACGAGGTAAATGTCTCATAGAAGTCCCTATGACCATCCTGAGTATTTCCAAAAAGGTCACGACGAAGCAGAGTCCCATTGCGAATTTATGAATTAACAGTATAGTTATCAGGACTGTCACGAGTCCCGTGATAGTTGGTAAATCGAATATTTTTAAGAGCCGTTTCCACTGTGGTACATTACCACGATCTTTGGTCACGGTGCAGAATGGAGCTTGGGTGTGTGGATAGAGTATTGTCAAATTCCAATATTCGACGAGGGTCCGAGAATTTATAGTCAAGTCTACTTCGTTGAGTATCAAAGTATTCAGCATACCGTGGTAGGTACCGTTTTCATAAAAATATCCAAAGTCAAGCTCCTTAGCTAATAAATGTTGCTGGTCAACCATTGTTGCGTTCATATCTGCTATCAGGCTTGTTAAAATTACACCGTCTTTGCCTTCATATGTTTTTTTCATCTTCTCATCGGTATTGATTGCGAAAGTTGGCGGATAAACTTGACCAATCACTCTCACGGGATAGCCATTGAGCTTGAGACTTTTGTCGTAGAAAATAATATTACGTTCTTTGTGACAATTAAGAATTTCAAGGCCATTGTCTTTCAGTACGAAGAGACTGCCTGGCCGATTGTCAGAGTCTTGGCCAACGATCTGCCAAGGCTCGGGTGCGTACTCCCCAAAAGGATTGTACGTGTAAATTTTAACTTTACCGTAATCGTCTTTGCACAGGAAAATAACAGACAGTAGATCGTTCTGCCAGGCTGTGTGTAAAAGTTCATACGCCATATGACAGTTTTCACTCTCAGGATTCTCGTCTAGGATTAGATATTTTCCTTTGACATTGTGCCACAATGAATTCCTTATTCTGTCCAATTGCTTGAGAAGAGACGAAGCCGAGGAAACTTTAATGGCGAAGATATCCAAGGGATAAATTTTTGCGTAATATCTTTCAGATAAAAAGGTTGGTAACCAAAACATCGCGTCCGTGATATGCTGATCATCCCGTGGTCTCGTGTCTCCCAATCGCGTGATAAGGCACTGATTGGTTTCATGGAATTTCTTGAGTTCTTCGTCAAGGAATTGGTTTCCGATAAGTAGAACATTTTTCCTGGATGGAAACAGGCAAGTTGTTAACAACTGCCCCACAGTGTCAAAAAGTGTAGTGGTTTTTGGATTTTTCGCGATGATAGTTTCTTGAGTAGAAATGAGAAAGAGAAATGTCTTCAGGATCAACAGATTTAGAGTGAAATCTTTCTTGGCATTTGCCATCGTTTTAACGTGACAAGGTAGGACGAATTCTGTCTCGACCAGTTATTATAAAAGGTCAGGTAACCGTGAATAATTCATATCCGTTAGAACGAAAGTTTCTGGAATCTGTTTATACGGCGGAAAGCTTCGGTTCGTTGAATTGATCTTCTTTGGACTAAATGATCTTATCTTTTCGTTATACCGAAAATTATTTTTTTAACGTAAACATAAATGCTTTTAACCGACTTTCACGAAGGCTGTTCGCATTATCGGATTGTGACTTTATGTAAAACTTTCCTTTCTGTTATTTCTTATATTCTTCTTATATTTACTTAATTATATGAATTTTTAACATCTGTATCGCACGAAATGAATAGATACCTGTGGTATCATTAACATATATTCTTATCACGTGGCATGGTAATGATATTAGTTCTCAGGTAGAACGCCCAGACGTCGCGACGAATTGCGCTCACAAATAATGGAATCTGTCACTTCGTATGTTAAAGTACGATGGATGAATGTAAAATCGCAAGAAGCCCGTAGTAAAATTTCTCATTGTCAATTTTATTAGTCAAATACCCGCGTAGAAATTCTAATACGGCCCCGATCAGGGCGTGATCAGGTGCCTGACTGCCTCAATAGGGCACTTTTAGAGCAGCCTGATCACGCCCTGACTCGAATTGTA